TAGAAAATTTGGGAAATCAGAGTGGCAACGTGGGGACCGTGGGTAGAGGCCACATCAACTGAACTGGTCCTACCAGGCAGGGTGAGTGGGGCCTAGAGGGGAAGGAGCTTGGGTAGAAGGCTTCCTCCTTCCATTATGAGCCTCGTTATTTCCCTGAGGAGTAAAGCCAGTCTTCTTGCCCAGTCCGGCTCTCATCAGTTGCCCCAGTGATCCTCTGCTGGGCTCAGCATGTGTCACCTTCCCCAGACCCTGAGAAGTTGACCGGGGCTACTCTCTGACATTCTCAGGCCAGGAAGAAACTAGCTATGGACTGACTGCTCCTGATTCTCTATGGCTTCTCACATCCCTTTTCTGTTAAAAATGTAAAAACTAGAAACCCTATTTTGTACGTCTGTTATTTTTCTCCACGGCACCTTATAATTCTTTGCAGTGGTTTTTACACTTGGCTGCCTTTGGCTGCCCTCTTCTCCCCCTTCATTATTTGTGACCTGTATTTGTAGTCCCAGCTATATACCTGGTGCTCAGCCATTGTAGTTACTAACCAAATGATTGTTAATTGACTGATAGTAATTCAGATTACTATGGGACATTTTATAGCATGATTTTTTACTATCATTTTTATTTCTCTTTCTATCTTATATCTGAGCATATAGCAGGTGTTCAGTCAACACTTGATGGCTTTAGATTTTTCTGATGAATTAACAATCTTTTGCAGCCAGAAAGGTACACTTGACTGCCCTCCTCTGAGAAAGGAGCTAGTGGAGAAACTAAGTCGGATGATGAGTCTAGCTATCTTTCTGTTTCTTTCCACTCAGAAGATCTTTCAATGCCTAGTCTCTTCCTTGTTTCTCAACATTTACTTTTATCCCCACATCTCACCATCTCTTGAAATTCCGAGATGGTCTTGGAAACATCCCAGGTATCTTGGACCTCCCTGGAGGCGCTCTCTTCTCTTCTCCCTACCTCTAAATTTCCCTTACTGATCTCACTTTCTCCCTTTTCCTCCATCCTTAGCCTCTGTGTCTTTCCCCTCCTCCACTTACGCTCTCTGTCCCCTCTTCTCAATCAGAGGTCAATCCATTAATGCTCCGTTTCTCTTGCCTGCCACCCTCTGCAGCTTTCCCCTCCTTTTTACATCTCTGCCCCAGGTCACATCATGCAAGCAATTCCAAACACACACCACATCCCAGCACCCCTCAAACTCCATAGTATTTCTTTCTTCCTTATCAGCAATCTTCACCTTTTTTATTTCTCCTGCCCCTATTTTTCTACCTTCCCAACTTGCACTGGAAGTCTTGCACGTATATGCAAAAGGTAGCATAATGGGCCACAATTTCACCTATACTTTTTACTAGCACCGTGTGTCATAAGTAGTGGCCACTCAAACTGGAGGTGGTGTTTTTAAAATTTGATATAATTCTGACTTTTTAAAATCCTGATTAATTTTAGGTTCTGTCTTTATACTCTGAAAAAGTGCATAGTAAAGGTACCATTTTTCTTCTCCTATGTTTCCATGTCTTGCTAATGTGTTTTGTATGTGTGTAGTTTGCTTATTTCCCCATTACGATGGTCTACAATGAAATTAGCTTTGGAGGCAGCATTCAAACAGAGATCAGGCAATACTCAATTGGGGAAGTTATGGAACGAATTCAGAGGAAAGGGGTGAGGGTGTTCAAGAAGATGGCTTCTTCTTCTTTTTTGCTGAGGAAGATTTGCCCTGAGCTAATATCTATTGCCAATCTTCCTCTCTTTGGTATGTGAGCCACTGTCACAGCATGGCCACTGATAGAAGAGTGGTGTAGGTCCAAGCCTGGGAAGTGAACCTGGGCCACCAAAGTGGAGCATGTCAATCTTAACCACTAGGCCACCAGGGCTGGCCCAACAAGATGGTTTCTAAACATCGCTTTTAAAACCTGAAATTCTCCTTAAACTGATCAGAGTATAGGGGTTTTGCCTTTTCCTTTGTGTTTTCTGCTATGCTAAAGGGCATTTGTCCCACCTAGGAGGTGCTTAAATATTGGAATTCCCTGAGACAGTAAAATAAATTATTCTGTTCAAAGGAGGAAGAGGAGAAGGCAGCAAGCACCTTTGGATTTGGGTGATCATTGAACTTATTAGACCATCAGGTCCCTCAGAAGGAGTTCAATGCTCTGTGTGAGGATTTCATATGTTTGTTTTGTCCACTTTCTCCTTTTGGACCTCAGATTGTTGTTGTTGTTTTTTTTTTTTTTTTTGTGAGAAAGATCAGCCCTGAGCTAACATCCATGCTAATCCTCCTCTTTTTGCTGAGGAAGACCAGCTCTGAGCTAACATCTATTGCCAATCCTCCTCCTTTTTTTTTCCCCCAAAGCCCCAGCAGATAGTTGTATGTCATAGCTGCACATCCTTCTAGTTGCTGTATGTGGGACGCGGCCTCAGCATGGCCAGAGAAGTGGTGCATCAGTGCACGCCCGGGATCTGAACCCGGGTCGCCAGTAGTGGAGCGCACGCACTTAACCGCTAAGCCACAGGGCCGGCCCTCAGATTGTTCATAGACCCAAACACTCTGAGAGCTAGCAGGATCCCCAAGGATTATTTCCATTGGGTAGGTGCTTGGGCACTCTCCTTGACTGAAGAACTTCCGATGACAGAGCCCTCCTAACCTTCTCCAGGCAGGAAGTGACTTTTCCAATTATGGGCTGAACTAGCAGAATATTTTTCTTCTAATGAGTCAAAAAACATTCTGTTCGGAGTTTCTCCCAGTTGGTTCCATTCTATTCCCTGAAACTCGGCTGAGCAAATCTCGTCCTTTTCTACCTGAAAGCCCTTTGGATATTTGAAGACAGCAATTATTTCCTATACAGAGCTGTATCTTCGTCTGCCTAAACATTTCCAGTTTTCCAAATTCCTCGTGACATGATTTCCAGTCTTTTCTATACTTTGGTTGCTCTATTTTCAGTGTATTGTCTGATGTGGGGTCCAGAGCAGAATGGATGCTCTGACCAGCCCAAAGCGGGAACTCTCCATCCCACCCCATTCATTTTCCTCTTCCTCAGTCCCTGACCCAGTGTCCTTCACATGCCCCAGACCCCCTAATATTTTCTCCTTGAGAAGTTTTTCTGGACTTCTCTTCCATCCTTTACAAAGTCCTATCAATGAAGGTCCTCAGTTTTAGAACCATTTACATGAAAGGGAATCTTTTTGTTTTTGTAGCTTTCCTTGAATTCTCCAAATCCTTGTTGCTGTTTCTTACTTGACTTGAGTTTATAACAATGTTTAAGTGTCTTCAGGGCAGGTTGCCTTTTTCATATTCAGCCCAGAGCCCAAGACAGGTCTGAGAAATATTTGTTGAGTCCATGGTCAGTAACCATATCATGTGTTGACTTGTCTTCATCATCATCATCATTTTAGTGGCACATAGCTCCTTTTGTTTGGTGTTTGTTTGTTTGTTTGGTCTTTATTCTTGTAGTGTCTATGTTGCTTATGGAGAAAGAGCCCATGAAGAAGCTATGGTTTTTAATAAATGGAGTTTTATGATTTTACTCCAAACTCGATCTTCCCGTATGGTTCAGTACAAGCTGCCACCAACATCAGGAAGGTAGTGGAATTTAATAGAAGTTAGTGGGAACTGGCTTGATATTTGGTTTGCTGAAATTAATATGAGGTGTTCTATATTGCCCCCCTGGCCAGCGTTCCCCTGCCGGGATGGCTAGCAGAGTCACTGAGGCAATGTGATATGGTGAGAAGAGCTGTAGGCTTAAATAGATTTAAGTTTGATCTCTATCTCTGCCACTTATTTATGGTCAATTAACCACTCAGACCTCAGTTTCTTCATCTGTAAAATGGAGTTAACCTAACTTGGTATGATGGTGAAATGAGATAATGTGTCACAACTCTGACCAGTGCACTGTTGTCATTCTGCAGAGTTTCCTCATTCAGTCCCCACTAGCACTTCTGGTAAATGAAGAGCATCCAGATAGGCCCATGGGTTGTTTCCCCTGCATTCGACAACATGATGAATTTTCTCCTGCAGGCTCAGTCTGGGTCTCTCTGTCTGTGTCACACCCAGCACGCTGTCCTCACGGCTGGAGAGTCAATCAATACTCCTTAATGGTGCAGCTCATTGCCCTGCACTGAGGAAGGTCAGTGAGCATCATTTCCCCGTCTCTCCAGAGACAGAGCGTAGTCTAGACACACGGCGCAGGAGAAAGTCAGGAAACCTGGGCCCTCACTCCACTGATGGTTTTTCTAGTGCATTGGACACGTTACATGGTTGCGTGAGTCTCTGATTCTGTTTGCAGAAAGAGTAATATATTTGAATTCCTACCTGCCTGCTGGGGTAGATGAGAATGAATGAATTTGTATCTCTGAAGAAAGATACTATTTGGATATATAGTCTGTTTCTATCAAGTTGGGGAGCAGTAAGTTGCCAGGGCTCCAAAAGGCCATGTGCCCACACTGGCCAGAGTCCAGAAGACTGGACCATCACCCTTTACTCAGACGGCGGAGACCACGCCTGTCTCCCCAGAACAGCCCTGTGTGAATGTCTGACTTTATGATACATTTTTGCCGGTGAGGGAATTGGGCATGAAGCAGAGGTAAATGGTTGCCAATCACTGCTTCCCATTCAGAGCAGAAGCCGTGCAAGCTCATGATTCATGCCATGCTCACCTGGACTCAGAGACCTCTAGGCACTGAGAACTCTGTCTCCCCAAAGTATTTTCCTGATTAATTACAGGGCCCTCAGCACTGCAACTCACACAGAGGCCCATTCTTCACGGCTGGAGTCGGACTCCACACCCTCTGGGGCACACTCCTGGGGCGTGTGCACTTTCTTCTCTCTAGCCCTCCTCCCACGGAGGCACGTCCCAGCTGGGTACTGCCTTGCCATGCTCCACATCTCCCACAAGGGGGAGCCCCGGGAGGGCAGCGGAATTTTGGAAGTGCTGAAGTTTTCTCCTCCTGTCCTCTAACTGATTTTCGCGCACCCAACTGTGAGATTTCTTTGTTGCAATGTTGGGATCTGAGATAACACTTCTGGAGGCTGCGGGGCGACAACCACAGCTGATACCATCTTTTATTGTTTGTTGTTATTTATCTAGCATTATAAACTAAGGAGGAAAAGTAACAAAGAACTTGAAGACTTTCATGACTCCCAGGCCCTGGATGGAGGCAGGCGGCGTCAGACAGACAGAACCAAGAAATCTGAGGGGCAGCCAGGAGGTGCCTGTGGCTGCAGAGCCCAGGTAGGTGCCCAGGAGATGATGAGGAGGGGCTCATTGGTGGGGAGAGGCACAGAGCCCCTAATGGTGGGAGGAGCGGATGGAGCAGACACGGGTGGTCAGGAGAGATTAAGGGGGGAAGGCAGTGCAGAGAGGAGTTGGGAGATTGAGGGAGAGTGGAGGGAGGAGTCCCAAAGGAGTGCAAAAGAAAAAAAAGATGCTTGTAGGCTCTGATGCAAAAGACTGACCGCAGAGCCGGAGAGGGAGGGTTTGTGAACTGAATCAGAGACTTAAACTGGTTTGAAGTTGGTTCCAACTTGGCCGCCCCAAAAACTTCACAGGGCATCAGAGGCCGGGAGTTTGAGAGCAAATGCTCAGTTGCACAAGAAAATTCAAAGTGAGTAGGTGTGCCTGAAAGTTGATCTAATCATCCTGGTTGTGTTTCATATAGCCACACCTACTCTGGACTTTTGACCTAAACTAGAAGGAATTCTGGTCTGATATTCCGGTCTGGTGGCATTTTCAGGTTCTTCCCACTCTGAACTAATGTTTCAGACTTTCCCCTTCTTCCTCGCAGTCTCCCACAGTTGCTCTCGGTAATGGACTAGGAGTCAGAAGTTCTCATTCCGCCACTTAGTGAGATGAGCTTAAGCAAGGAAACGTCGGAGTCTCCTTTTTCTTTGTCTATAAAAAGGAGATAATAATACATTACTGATGAGCTTTATAGGATTTTTCTGAGGATTGAATAAGTAAGATAATGTGAGTAAGTGCTCTTAATAGATTATAATTGCTAGCTAAATAAAAGATGGCATTAATAATAATTAATCAGTTAATATACCCTTACTACTCTCAGCGGGGTATTTTCCTACTGAGCTTTGGAGGAACCTGTGTGTGTGTGTGTGTGTGTGTGTATACACACACTCTACTATTTGTGGGAAAATTTAAATACATGACCCCCTATTTCCATAGCACTTTCTAGAGTAACTTCTTTGGCAGCTACGTGAGAAACTTTGTGTTCTTTCCCTTTTAGCCACCTTCAAATGTTCTTTTTCCCAGCCTGGGCTACATTTTTCTATCTCTCAGACATGCAGATAATGATCGATGGTGTCTGCTTGGCCACCTGAAGAGTGATTTGTCTGTGTCCTGGACACCGTGCTGCCCGAGTAAATGTCACACCTTGTCTCAGGCACATGATCAGATTGAATATGTTGGAAAGAAGCAAATAAGAGGCTGTGTTTATAATCCCATCCCATATTTCCTGCCTGGGATGTTCTTTCCAGATCACTTCTTACTTATTCATTGAAATGTCTCAGATGGGAAATTGGGTTCTGCACTCTGGGTCAGGCTGGTTCAGTCGACCTGTGAAGTCTGAAGTTGGCTTTGATGCCTGTGGACATATTCACTTTTTCCTCAGGTTCCAGAAGCAGTGTGGTGTATGGGGAAGGCAGTGTAGACCATAGGCAAATCCCTTGACTTCACTGAGCCTTCTCCTCCCCATCTGCCAGATGAAATTGTTGCTTCCCTTCCTTCCTGCATCTAACTGTAGACGTGGGGCCACATGAGGTTATACCTGACCACACCAAAAGTTTGTAATTCCACCATGTTATCTAATTATAAGATATCATCTTAGTTAATCTGCTGCATGATTCTTACTAGTGATTTACCCATATTTTACAACCTCAGTTATTTTAAAAGCTGTCTTTCCCCAAATGCTAATGTATTCTTTTATTTCTTTTCTTCTTCAGCAATCAACTGATAAATCAAATATTTATAGAGATGCTAAGTTTAAGTCATACACTCACTCACCTTCAGAAAGTTGGTATCCTATTTAAATCGCATGTACAGATGCACAATATGTACATAGACTTTGTATTTTTCTAGACCCGCCAAACACATATATACATCCCTTCTCCTTTCAAGCATGTACTTACTCCCCTTTTAAAACAAAATATATGCAAATATATATTTGAACAAAAACACATACACTGACGTTCACACAGCTTACTCACTGAGAAAGCAGACTTAATGGGGAAGAGAAATGAACACCTCGCTCTATCAGCATTTCAGCTATTTTAGAGTCCAGAAGGGACCACAAGACACAATTCATGTGGTTAAAAAAAAATCATGGATCAATTTCTGCCCTGTTCCTAGCAATGAATATCAATATCTCGCCTCTTCCAGACAGACTCTCAGCAGCTTTGGATATTTTTAAATGAGTTTTTTAAATACATTTGCAAAGCCAATTATTTTGAATCTCATCTGAAGCAATTAAAAAACATCCTGACATTTAAGGTGATATTTTTTCCCAAGTAAAATAATTATAAATAATAGTAATTATGAAAAAATCATTCAGTTACTCTCAGTCTGCTTCAACCTTTAGGTTAATAAACCAATCCATTAAAACTCATCTTGCTCAAAGGACCAATTTGTTAAAAAATGTAGCGACCTTTCACCACAAGTATGATTGATATTTTCTTTAACAATAATCAGAGCTGTCTTTCCCAGAAGAGGGTGTGGTCAAGTGGTAGGTATAGAGAACTAGGGTTCTTTTATGCCTCTCTCAGTTATACTTCTCAGTTAGGTAGAAAATGATGTTGATGATGATGAAGATGGTGATGATAATGTACAAAACTCTGATTTCAAAACGTACCTTAAAAAGACTTTAATTCTGAAAGTCTCAGGGCAATTGCTCACAAAAACTGACAATATCATTCATCACGCCAGGAAAGATTTTAGATACGCCTTCTGTCTGCCTCTGATGTTTCATTCTCTCTAAAGGTGTGGGGCAGGGATTTGCAAATATGGCCCACGGGCCAAATCCAGTATGCCACCTGTTTCTATAACTAAAATTTTATCAAAACAAAGCACATCTCTTCATTTACATATTGTCAGTGGCTGCTTTCCTACTACAAAGGCAGAGCTGAGTAGTTACAACAGAGACCATATGGCTTACAAAGCCTAAAATATTTATTATTTGGCCCTTTAGAGAAAAAGTTTGCCAACCCCAGGTGGAGTAATGAAAAAATAGCAAAAATCAGTTTTCTTTGAATTTACTACACCAACTAATATTTAAGCAGCACTTTACAGTTTATAGTCTGACCACGTTATTTTGTAACAGGTATTCTTATCCTCACTTAATTAATGAAGAAATTGCAAAGTTTTCCATGATCGTTCAGCCGTGGAGTGGTGTAGGTAGAACTTGGCCTCTGAGAAGGAAGAACATGGGCCAGACGGCAGCCTTTAGAGAAGCAGAAAAGGAGATGCTTTGAAGCTGCAATAATGGCTACTTATCTTTTTCATCCACCCAGATGTGGTCATTGCCAGAAGACAGTAAGGGAGGCAAAAATCTTGACATTCTGTTCCCTCTTTATCAGACCTTGGCCTGGGTGATTTTAACCTTGTTCTGCTTCTACGTCCCTACTCTCATAACCAGAGAGTAATAAACAGAACTAATAAACAGAAAGGAGAGCAAAGTGCTTTGCAGTCAAACAAAGCTAAGCTTTATTGCATCAACTCTCGCTTATCCACACTGAAGGAATGTATCCGCCCTGAAATTGGCACTGTGGCCTGGATATTCTGAAACAACCAGTAACAGAAAAGTCTTTGTTTTGGAATATGCTATCTTTTAAGAAGTTTGCTTTTTGAAACAGCAAATCCCTTCTTCATTATGTTTTTCTTATACTCTGTGTATTATCAAAATTATATTTTTCCCCCTGAGCTCATTCCATCTACTAGCAAGGTGGGCCATAAGGTACTGGAAATCAGGAGGAAGGAAGCCTGGAATGAAGACTTTGCTTTTGAGATCCACATGTATAAAACAAGCTGTTTTGCAGAGACCAAAGTTTTTCTTAATCTTAAGTTTTCTTGGAAAGGAGGCAAGGGATAAAACGAGAGAGATGAGAATAAGAAACTCCTATGTCAAACCTTTCCTAAAGATTCTAAGCCAAAGATAAAGATTTAAACAGTTGAACTAATTCAATTTTTCCACTCAACCAGCTTTTATTTTGAGTGTCCAGTATGGCGGGCTATAGGAGTTGAAAGAGTCCCATTGACTAAGATTCAGATATTCTCTAGGAAATGATTTATTAGAGAAATGAACATGTGCATATGTGCTTACAGATAAAATCTGAGCATGCTCAAAGAAGTTATTTTTCCTTACTGGACAATCACTGAAGATACCGTGGAGGAAGTGGCATTTTGTGAGACTTGAAGAATGTGTAGGTTTTAGACATCTGGAAATGGAAGGGGTGGCATTCTAGGAGGAAACAGAGGGGACAAAGTCATAGAGCAAAGTATAGGATTTGTATGTGATCAGAAAGTCATTCATTTTATTTGGAACCCATGGTTATGTGGGAGTGGAGGAAGATAAGGTAGGTGACGTAGGTCAGAGTCAGATCCTAAGGGCCTTGAATTGCAGGTTAAGAAGTTTGGTCTTTATTTGGTAGATGATGAGAACCATTGCATATTTTTCTTTAGAAGAATTACGTGATCATACCTGTGATTTGGAAAAGAGTCTAACAGATATTTGAAAAGAACTTGGAGGCAAGGTCATCAGTTAGCGGCTAGAGCAATGGTCCAGGCAAGATGAGTAAGGTAACTCGTTTGTCTTGTGCTCTAATCGCAAGACTGCTCCTCTATAACCTGACTGTCAGAGGTTATAGCACTGGCTGAGGGCTTTCTGAGGGCATTTATTTAATGGCATGCCAGTGGCATTTACTCATAAAACCAAAAAGCCATTGGGGCCAGAAATAGGGGTTTTGGTTACTTCCCCAGACAGGATGCAGTTGGGGTGATTATACATGTGATTCATCGAGGTCGGGAAACAAGCCCTCCACAAACAAACACCCCTCCCCTCCAAGCCCAGTGACTCACAGCTTCTTCAGTTTGGAAAGCTCTGGAGTCCAGGCAGAATTTGAGGTGAGATGTTAAATCATAAATCTTCAGTGTTCATTGTTACAAGAGGAACATTTTTATTCATCATTCTAGCAATAAGCATTTATTGAACTCTTACTGTTTTAGGCACA